TCTCTTAAACACTCTTCATCCCCAACACAATACACACTGTATTTATACATGTGACCAAGAGGCTACGTTTCATGTGTCTGAAGAAATGGATTATAGTCCACAAAAGTTTCCACTGAAATATGTGTCTTAGTTTCAAAGGTGCCACAATATTTTGGGGCTTGTTTTTTTTGCAGAATTGGACAAACCTTGTAACCTTTCTGAAAATTGCCTCAGGAGAGTTTTTGCAAATGACTTGAGAGACAGTATTGTACTATATTCCTCTGTTAGTTCAGTTCAGCGATGAGCAGAGCAACCCTAGTGTGTGCCTATGGTGCAGGCAGTGTGTATGTATGTAGGGAGAGAGATGTTACTCATATACTGGAAGAAGAGAGTCATTGTCATTCGGAGGGGGGGTCAGCCTAAGAAGGGGAGGGGGAACATATAACACAAAGGCTGAAATCCAGTGGTAAATTGCAACTAGAGTAGGTTCATTAAATCAATAGGGATTTGGTGAGTCAGTGCCTATATATGTTCCCCTTATTTCAGTGGGCCTCCTCTAGTTGTGACTTCCTACTGAATTTCAGCCAAAGTATTTTAAAAATGATAGGCATGTCCCCAGTGTCCTTGCCAGCTGTCAGCGTGCTATTGATAATGCTCACATATCACACACAGGCACTCTCACAGAGAGAAATACGTGAATTACCAACATCTGTGGCATGACTGCAGCACACACCTTTGTTCTCTGTGTTTACCTTCCCTGTACACAGAGGGTACACACAGCCCTCTTGGGTCACACAGACAGAACACCTACACAGAAAGGAGAAGGCTGTTTTGCCAAGTAGTCAAAGGGAGGGGCCAAGACAGGCAACAAGGGAGACCGTGATCCCAGCTATTTGCAGTAGTTCACTGCAGAGGGCATATGTTTAGGAAGAGACAGGGATTCAAGCCCTGGCAAGAGAAAGGGGCAGATGGAGCCCCATTGTTCACCTTTGTGGCAATAGGACTCCCTGGTCCTGTCAGGAACAAAAGAGAAGGAATTCTAGGACTTCAAAAAACAAAAAACAAAACAGTGGTCACCACAAAGAGGTTCCCTAACAATTCAGCCAAAGCAGCCCACCAAATGACATTCGCCTCCGCTTTTCTCCAAAACCTAATCATAGACACCAGTGGTAGGAAAAGCTGTAACTAGGTAGACCCAGTTAACATCAGGGTGTCCATGGTGTGGCTCCACATAGCTGGGAAGCTTCTTCACATGCAGGCACACATGAACAAGTAAAAGAAGAATGCAAGAACCTGGCTTCTGTATGGCACAACTGGTGGAGGGTTTCTTTTGGTCCTTGCATCAGCCTATGCATCTAATCTACCACCTGCACACTATGCTTTTGTTTGATAGGATGAGCAGTATCTCAACAGGCTCTTCCCTTCCTTCCCCACTACCAGACTGCTTCATTCACACTAGCAGCAACAATCCACTGCCACTTCAGATTCAGGCACATCAGTGAGAAGATAGCAGAGGGGCTTCTGGCCCTGAGCCCCTCCATCTGCCTTCCCACCCTTGAGATTCCCATCCTAAGGCCCAGCTATAACCCAGTGTGGAAAACGAATCCCATCTCACCTCTCTGTCACAACAGAGAAATCATAAAAATGGCAGAGTAATCACATTTATTGGATAGCAGGAGATCCAGAAAGAAAAAGACATGTGTGGGGAGGTATCCCCCCCCACACAAAGCTTAATTGCCATGAACGGCAGAATTTGTGGTTTATACCATGTGAGAAGAATAGGCTTGTTTTGTTTCGACATATTCAGTCTCTGCAGCCTGGAATGCTTCTATCAGTTATTTATTTCTTCCTCGTGCTTTCAGAGCAGCTTTCACTTCACTTTTTAAAATGGCAAGTTCTTCATCACTGTATTCCTCTTCAAAGGAATCTGTCATGTTTTTATGTCTTCTATGTAGTTCTTCAGAATATTGTTTCCATCTTTATCTTATCCTGATCATCCCTGGTTTCAGTCTACAGTTCTTCTGGCTGATAGCTAATTGAGTTTAGTAATGCAAATATATTCTTTATATGGGCTTTGAATTTATCAGAAATATTTTTAAATTATATTTCAGCACTGTGATTCTTTTTCAGCTTTACTCTTAATTTTTTTTCATATTACCATTTTGTGGTCAGTACCACAATCTGCTCTTGTTCTTGTTCTGGCAGAGAGTATACAGCTTCTCCATCTTCTGTTTCTAATTATATAGTTTATTTGATGTCTATACTAGCAATCTGGTGATGTCCACGTGTATAGTGACGTTGCATACAGCATGTATTTGTAATAAACAGATTGTTGGCTTTATAGAATTCTGTGGGTCATTCTCCTGGTTCGTTTTTGACTACTAGACCAACAATATTTGGTCTTTCTTTGTCTTTTGCATTACAGTTACCTGTGGTTTTCAGATTGTGATATGTGATCAGTTTCCTCTTGAATGCTTGCATAAGAGCTTTCAATTTCTTCTTCAACATTTCTATTTGGAGCATAGACTAGAATGAAGGTTATGTTAATAGGTTTTCCAAGAAGTCTGATTGATATTATTAGGTCATATCTTGCATTATAGCACCCTAACTGCCTGTCCTACATCTTGCCTCAGTATTAGAGCCACTGCATTTCTTCTGAGTTTGTTATTTTCAGAGTGAAGCACTCCATAGTTTGACTGAAAATGTCTCATTCCAGTCCACTCTAGTTCACTGACACCAAGCTGTTCAGTTTCTTGCTTTATCGTTTCCAGTTTACTTTGATTTATATTTTTAATGTGCCTTGTTACAATTTTAGGCGTTGTGCAGCATCAGGCTGCCCTTTCACTTCTGTGCACATCAGCCATTAGACATCCTTTCGGCTTTAATCTAATTGCTTCATTAGCCATATAGTGCTATTCATACCTATCCTTTGCTCTCCCCCAGCCTGAGTGCATTCTAACCCAGGAGTTTCATTGTCCAGCATTATCTCTTGTTTCATGTTGGATTGTTTCATCATAGGATTCTCAAGGCAAAAAAAAAAAAAAAAATCAGCAGTGGTTTACAATTGTCTTTTCTGCACATATGTAGCTGATTAAAATGGCAAAGAGAAAGGGTTGTTTTTTTAAATTTAATTTTATTTTTATATCATAATATTGGCTTCATTATACCTTTTTCTACACGGCATTCCATAGTCGAGGTTCCACAACTGAGAAGGTTCTGTCCTATATTGATATTAACTGAGGTACATGAAGAAGAGACTCCTCAGGTGATCTTTAGCTGCAGACAGAATGATATAGGGAGAAGCAGACATGCAGATATTATTCCAAGTTATTTAGGTCTTTACAGAGAGGCACCAGCATCTTGAATTGGGCCCAGAAACAAGCAGGCCACCAGTTTGACTCTGAAAAAATCTCCATAGTGTGCTTCTCCCTGGCTATACTGGTTATGGTATTTATTGCACTTGCTTGATTTTCTGGTGTGTCTTCAAGGACAGCCCCATGAACTGTGTATTTCAGAAATTCAGTTAAAGGGCTATCAGGGCATAAACCACTATGGCTTGACTACTCCTGTCCAGGATGATGTGGACCGACCTGATTAGACAGTCATGAAATCCCTAGCCGGTGAGACTGCTAAGACTCAAATTGGCAAGGCTAAATAAAAGTGTACTTTGAAGTCCCATATCAGTTTGGTGGTGCCTCGCTTAGCGATGTTAATTCGTTCCAAAAAATCGCTGCTAAGCGATTTCATCGCTAAGCGAAACGCGGTTTCCCATTGAAATGCATTGAAAACCGGATAATCTGTTCCAATAGGAACAAATTGCCATCCTTAAGCAAAAATCGCCATAGGAAACATCGCTAAGCGAAACGCAGTTCCCCAATTGAAATGCATTGAAACCTATTCAATGCATCTCAATGGGGGGAAAATACAACAACAAATTAAAAAAGAGTCAGAACAAAGGCAAATTTGGTTAACAAAGGGTTTATTAAGTGCACTTTATGATTTCAAACATTTTAAACAGTAAACTTTAACTTTATAAATAACAGAAAAACATTTAAAAACAACAAACAAGAAGCTGTTTAAACCATCGTTAAGCAAAACAGGGGACCCAAAATTTAATCGCTACACAAAGCATGGTCCCAATCATCGCTAAGCGAAAATCACCCATAGGGACCATCGTTAAACAAAACGCAAAAATGCTCCGAAAAAGTTGTCGCTAAGCGATTTCGTCACTAAACGGAGCGCCCGTTAAGCAAGGCACCACTGTATTGTGCAACCTTGTCTAAGAAAGGCTAGATGAGTGTTTAGGTACTTAGGATGATCAGTTCTGAGAGATAGGAATCACCCAAAGGGCCTCTGTATTAATCAGGATTCAGCTCAGTTTACTGGCCTTCATCCAGATTATGATTGATTCAGGACAGGCGTTTATCACTTCACACGACTCATGAAAAAGATTAGAGCTTGAGGTTGCCAGCATATTACTGGTTATCCTTTAGGTAAGCCATATAGTTCATGGTTAAATACGTCACATCTAATGGTTTCATGAAATGAACGTGACTATGTGAGAACTGTGTCTGGGAGTTCCTCGGTACATACAACTGTTGCCTGTCCAAGGGTGCTTGCTTTCAAGCTGCAAGAAATCTGAACGTATACAGTTACTGCCAATATAATTGGGAAGTGGGGCAGGCAAATGCCTTGGTATACAATTTCAACTTCTTACAGTTGTTCTTCGCATTATAGGAATATAATCGCCCTCCCATTGCCTTTCAGGCTTATAAACAGCCAAACGGTACTTGACATTTAGATGTGATTTTCTTGTTGTGCACTTGTGTAGTCAAAAGAGTAATGATAATCCTATTAAAGGTCTCATGTCATGGAGGAGGAGGTGGATTCAGCATGTATATGGTGGGGGGGGGTTGAAAGCCTTGCTTTGATTGGCTGGAGGCAAAGCAGAAAGGGAAGGACTTTTGAGAGGGGGGAGGATGTATGACTTGATATAGTTAGAGCAGGGATTTCTGTGGGAAATGCCCAGAGGTTGCAGTTCTTGATGATCTCACGTTGGCAGCAGTGCTGTGCTGAGCGAGAGGGTGACCCATGAGCTTATTACTGAATGAGATACAACGAACGGCTGAAAAGAAGGGGGAGAGAAGCAAGCAAGGTGCGAGAGAGAAGCAGCCAGAGTAAAAAGGGAGAGAGAGAGAGATTGAGAGAAAGAGAAACAGGCTGTCACGGAGTATCTTCCAGGTGTACTGCAAAATCGAAAACCCTTTGGATATGGATACAAGGACTGTTTTCCTGCCTATAGATCAACTGCTGTGGACCGACTGAATCCATAGGGAGGGGCTGAATGGAGGGACTTCGCAGCTCTCTTGAATAAAATGCTAAGTTATGCGTAACTGATTTGGCAAGACAGCCTGAGAAATGCTGCTGCATGAAACACTGGCATGTAAATCCCAGCCACTGAGGCATATAGGACAAGCTGCTCTGGTATAAGGGTGGAGGAAAAAAGGAACGAAGGCAATGCAGGGAATGTCGTAATAAAGGTCTGCATTGGGTTGTCTGATTCACCAAGAGGGGGTGAAGCCGAAAGAAGTCAGCCTCACGTGAAGGGTGAAGTTGACATGAGCTTGTGCTGAATTCTGAGAGATGCTAGACATTAAACCTGATAACTGTGCAAAGAAAGACCATGGAGAAGTCAAGTAGCGAAGATTCCTCAATTCACCGGAGTCCATCTTTGGATAGCAAGGACTCAGACTTTGCTAAACCTTCTACCTCAGGCAGGCAGTTTGGTCGAGGCTTCACTGCCGGAGCTTTCTATGGTACTGCTGGGTCACGCACACAGAGTCACAATACAGCTGCAACTGGAACTGGTGTGAAAAGTGACAAATACAGTGCACCCAAAGGCAGCAAATATGTGGTTTTTTACCTGGATCTATCATTTGTTTTCCTCTTAGAATTTAAGAAGTGCAGCATGGCAAGAGGCTGTTTGTGTTGTTTGAAATACATGATGTTCCTTTTCAATCTAATATTCTGGGTGAGTACTGCCTTTTTTTCCTCTTGTCTTCATTAAGAGTTCCTTTCCCCTCCTGGATTGTGAGCACCATAGTATGTCTTTTAGCTTGACAGTTAAGATTACCCCCTTCTTTCTTTCACCTGCATGGAATACTTACAGCTTCAAATTCATGTCATGAGCTAGTGAAAAAAAAACCCTAATTCTCATGTGTATTGGGTTGGCTGCATTAAGAAAAACAGCCTTTTGCTAGCCATAATTATTCAAATTGCTACAGTGGTATCTTTTGCATTATTTTTTTAAATACCTTGCTGTACCCCAAGCTGCATTTACTATCTCTCAGCTGTTCCTATTCATCTGTCTCACTTTCCTAAAACAGAAAAAAAGCAAGAGTAATTACTAAGTTACTTTTCTGTGTGAATGAAATTTAGTTTTTTGCAGGTGTTAGTTGTTGAATTTAAAAAAAAAACGCTGGCTCTTAATATTGTCAAGATAAATGACAAATGATATGGATTTCTTTTTGGCCACTGTCACTTATATTGATGTGTTAACTTGGCAGACCAGAGGAATCACAATTTGCTATGCTGTGGGAGCACAATTGATTTTTCTACATTAGCTAGCCAAGAGACATGTGCAGTTGCAACACTGCTTCAGTAAGCAAATTTGTGAATGCTGACAAGTATGGCCAAAATTATATCATTGGGAAAATCAGGCAGTTTGTGCCAATCCGAAAATAGGGTTGCATTTTAAAAAGATTATGAGGAAGTCAAATCAAATGTGATCCACTTGGACACACTGTGTTGTCTATTTGAGCTTTTGTCAATGAAAGCCAAGAGCCTGCCCCTTTGAATAATCAGGAAAAGCTGTTGTAATATTCCTATGTGTAAGTGTCAAGAACAATTTCTTAAATCTTAATTTAGGTATGAAAATACAGCGGGCTAATTATTATTTTTCTTTCAGGATTTTGGTAGTGAATTCTCACTGTTTGGTTTAAACTAAAGTTCAGAAGATATGTTTGTTTCTTAGCAGCTGAATTTTCTGTCTGATTGACCCACCTTTTAAAAGTCAGATGTACTGGGAGCACAACAGAGTATCTTAGTAGTCTTGAATCAATGAACCTCTGTCAGGGAGGCTCCTGATTTAGAGAACTATCAAAGTTTAATCTTTCTTACACACAACATTCTCAATTATTTCTCATTTTTTCTTTTTAAAAAGCTAAAAAAGCTTTTATTCTATCCTGTTCATCTTTTTGCATTGGATACTAATATCTAAAGTAATATAAGTACAATAAAATTATAGAGCGGTATTGTATGAACAGGGAGAGTAAAATAGGCATTAATGCTCATACAGCAAATGCCTGTCTGAACAGAAAGCTCTTGCCATTTGGCAGAGTGGTGTCAGAGAGAGGGCCAATCTCATCTGGCTGGGACAAAGAGTTCCACACTTCGGTGGCTAGTAAAGGCCATCTTTCTTGCCCCTAGTAATAACAACTGCTCTATAACTGGAACAGAAAGAAGGGTTTCTCCTTTATATCCTAAGCCACAGCTGACATGGGGTGAGACAGTTATCACCAATACTTTTTATTGCCCCCCGAAAAAAATTAACCAGACATCCTTTATAGAACACGTGCAATATCATGCATCCAAGGTCCTTCATTGTTCTCCTCTCCCCCCCAAAAACCAAAATTCACTCCACTCACTTCTAGATTTATTTCATAATGGGCCTTCTGGCCAAATATTTCACTGCTTTGCCACAAAACCTTCAAGTTACTATTGGTATTGATTTGTATTTTTCCCCCCTGTATAATGTTACCATGTACTCCTGAAGTATGTGGACTCCAATAAGTTTTGAAGGCACTATAATTCATTGATGTTTAAAAATGCTCTAATTGTATGCTCTTTATGGGCTATCATGTTTTCTTACTTCACAGTCATCACACAAGAGAAAATTTGAAAAGAACCCAGATTAGAGTGGAGATGTTTAAAACTGTGGTCCTCTGAACATACACTTGCATACATCCAAGGGAAGAACAGTGTACATGGTTCTGTAAGCCTTCTAGTTGACCAGATTATTATTGAAGAGGCAATCTGACTTTCAGTTTAAATGTTAGGACTGGAATTATAAAAAGGTTTGCCATTTTCAAAATCTTGTAGAAATTTCAAAGATACTTGAGATGTGCTTCAGGGTGGTCCATGGAATGGGCAGTGGCAGAGCTACTTGGTTTGTAAAGCCTGCATGCCCTTCAGAGTTTGGCTTTTAAGTTAGCATGTGTGTCTTTGTCTGCAAGCATTTTTTGTGGATGAGCTGCATAGTAGTGTTTAAGCAGAATTCTTTGGTGAAGTGTGCATTCTCTCTCTCTCTCTCTCTCTGTGTGTGTGTGTGTGTGTGTGTGTGTGTGAGAGAGAGAGAGAGAGAGAGAGAGAGAGAGAGAGAGAGAGAGAGAGAGAGAGAGAGAGAGAGAGAGAGAGAGAGAGAGAGAGAGAGAGAGAGAATGTGCACATGCTTTGTTCCTTCACATTCCACTCAGTGACCTTTGGAAGCATATATATGGTGGGAGAAAATCCTCAGAACTTGAAAGTTGACACCACTAACACAGAACAAAAGAGTCGTTGTGAACTCCAGCATAACTCCCTGGAGAGAGTGAAGCATCTTTAAATAACTAAGTGGGCAAAGAAGAAAAAAATGTAGATGAACAACCACAGATCTTAAGAACTGACTGAGTATTTTTGGCATCTTATTGCCCTTGTCATAACACTGAAAACCCATATGACCTGTCAGGATTACAGTGATTACTTGTATCTTGGAAGCATAGGTGAGCATTCTGGAGTGGGCAGTGGTGGGTTCTGCAGGAAGTATGAAGAAATGACTGTACGTGTTGCAGGGGATATTAAGAGCTTGGATGATTGCTTTTACCATCTAGCTAGCTAGCTAGCTAGAGTACTTTACAGGGATGGCATAATCCTTAGGGTTTCCATCAAAAACCCTAAAATATTGTAGAATAATGATGGATTTTCTCTGCATGAATTGGCAAGGATTTTTTTTTAATTTAACTTTTAATTTACAATTTGGGGGGATTTCTTCCTCTTTTTATAGGGCATGGCAATCACTTCCTGCCTGAGAGGTTAAAGATAATGGCTTTAGAATGAATAAGAAATTTCCTACTTTAGAGAAAGAGTATGCCAGTAATTGGTATAACATAATCCTTAAACTAAAAACACTGAAATATTGTGATAGCAGGCTAACTGCTTACAAAACAGATGGGAAGAACAGTGGTTGCACATTTTTTTCTCATACTTCTGCTTCTGTGAAAAGGGGAATATACTATACCAAATATTAAAGGCAGTTGCAAGTACACCCATAAATGATGAGACTGAAATAATATGTAGACATATTTGCATCGAGCTCTGTTTCTACAATGCCTGACTGCTTGTCCCGTATCCAAGTAGCCCATTTTACCTGATTATTCTTTCATCTTCCTACTTTGCTTTGAAGTCTCTTAAGTGACTTCCAGGTGGTCCAGCCAAAGTCTTGCCCTGGTGGGAGACACTCTTCAGTATTCACTCATTCGGCAAGGTGTGTGAAGTGTATCTTTCTTATTGTTTGTGGACGTGCCAAACTATGCCACTGTGGGATACAGGTATAAAGTCTTGCCCTGGTGGGAGACACTCTTCGGTATTCACTCATTCGGCAAGTTGTGTGAAGTGTATCTTTCTTATTGTTTATGGATGTGCCAAACTATGCTGCTGGGGGATACAGGTACCTGGTCAGATACAGCATGATTTGCTCTGTTTATAACGCAGGTGAATTAGAAGTATTTTTTGCTAATTGCATGATGCAAAGGCTGATTTGATTTGGTCCAGGCCTTTTTGCTCCCAAACCAGCTTTTTTTTCTTTTCCACTGGAGGCTTTTTCAAGCAGGAATGATTCAAACAGTCTTTTCCCCATGCAATCAGTTGTGATGCCTTCATATAAAAGGAGTCTGTGCCTGTTTGGTGATCTAGGCAGTTGGGACATGTTGTTTAGGCCCATTGAGGAGGGGACATGCAAAAGCAAAGCACCATGATTTTAATGTGGAAGATCAGGTGCTAGTCCCAAATCCTGTCAGGTTGTGGGCAAAGGCACAAGCTTGGTGCTGTTAATTAAAAAGGTAAAGGTAAAGGTTCCCCTTGACATTTTTAGTCCAGTCGTGTCCGACTCTAGGGGGTGGTGCTCATCCCGTTTTTAAGCCGTAGAGTCAGCGCTTGTCCAAATACAGTTTCCATTGTCACGTGGCCAGCGTGACTAGGGAACGCCATTTTACCTTCCCACCGAGATGGTACCTATTTATTTACTCGCATCTTTACATGCTTTTGAACTGCTAGGTTGGCGAGGAGCTGGGACAAAGCGACGGGAGCTCACTCCATCACGTGGATTCGATCTTACGACTACTTGGTCTTCTGACCCTGCAGCAACCAGGCTTCTGCCGTTTAGCCTGCAGCGCCACCACCAGCGCCACCACTTCTTCTGCTGTTTAGTCTGCAGCGCCACCACTCAATCGCAAAAGCTTGGTGTTGTTAATTACTTAATTGACAGGTCTGAAAGTGTTATTAAAATCATATTCACCTTCCTATTTGTTACTCTTTTCCTTTACTTTCAAGTAATGCATCTCTGGTCCCATATGGTTTTAAACTATTGACATGATAAACTGTGACTAGAGATGAGATAATTCTGGCATGTATTGAAAGTAAGAGGAAAGGATAATGAAGGGGAAGGTGGTGATTCCTGTTACGGAATACTCTGAGAGGTGAATCATGATGTATTTTGTAACATTACTGTTCAGACTTTTGATGTTATTTACTCTAAGACACTGTTCAGACTTTTGATGTTATTTACTCTTATACTCAGTCCTGAAAGCAGCAAAATCAGAGAGCTGGACAGGGGACAGATTGTATTTGTCTTCGGTGTGGAAGGGATTGTCACTCTCGAATTGGCCTTCTCAGCCACACTAGACACTGTTCCAAGTCCTCCATACAGAACACATTACC